CCTATCATTTTTTCTTTCTCGACCAACCAACAAGAATGCTTCTTTCCCTCACTCGAAACCTCCCATGATAATCCGAATTTTGTTGTGGTCCCTTGAAGCTCAACTTAAAGAGGTTCAACTGCATTTTGATAGACAATCGATACAATTTTCAGATTATGCGTAGAGGCAACGAAAGCCGTTCATTCAGTAATATAGTAAAACTTGTGTTCCTTTATAAAATTACTGGGCGAAAATCAATATTGAGTCATTTTATGTCATTTTTGCAAATTTCTGTGCACGTTTAATGGCATTTTCGAATGCATCGCTGATTCAATAAACTGTTAGCTTCTAAAGTGATAATTAAAAGACTTTTTCATGCGGAAGCAGTGGAAAAATACGCATCAATTACATTAGCTTCCAGTCACTTAAAATATTTATCAAGCCTTTTTATCAACCCCTTTGCTTTGACAATGTCAGAGCGATACTCCTTCTCATTTGAAAATATAATTTTGTTATGATTTATGTTTCGTTTTTACGCCCAAGTTTGGAATTTTCAAATGGAAAAGACTGAAGAAACAAAGACGTTAAAAAGAAATGGTTACAATAATCAGATCTTCTTTTGTTGACATTAATTTCCAGTATTTCAGAGGACACTTTTAAGGGCGAATAAAATAAATATTGAGGGTGCTTTCGGCGATTTTCCCCGAACTAACTCAAACACGAAACGTTAATTATTCATATAATTTGTTTTAAACTAATGTATTACTGAATACATACGGTAATATAGCACTCACTTTAAACAGATTTCTCTCTTCCATGTGGGTATTATTTTTTTATAGGACATAGCTTTGTACCCGCAATTTCACATCAAAGAAGCCATTTATTACTTCGGAAAAATTTACGGAATGACAGCAAGTGCTGTGAAGCAACGATCGGAGTTCCTCGTTGCCTTCTTTGACTTGCCGAACGCCGACAGGATGATTGAAAGTTTAAGGTAAATCATCAGCTTTCGATAACACCAACCAAAGACACTGGATTTCTGATTTTTTTAAGCCTGAATTTATCGTTACAAATAGCGGCGGAGAACGAAGAAGAGTATCTTTGGCTTGTGCACTCTTGCACAAACCACCACTTTTGATTCTAGATGAACCGACTGTCGGGGTAGATCCTGTTCTACGTCACAGGTATGCAAAAATTGAGTCTGTGAATTTGGAAAACATAACATTGTCAATTTTTTTAATGAAGCATTTGGGAGCATTTGAACGCACTGACGAAAACGGACGACACCTCTGTTCTTATGACGACCCATTACATTGAAGAAGCTCGACAAGCTAACCGGGTTAGTATAATCCAGGTTGGAAATTTATATTGTCAGAAAAATCGAGCGAGACTGTATTTTTCTTCAGAAAATAACACTCGGTTTGTTTCGAGGGCCATCTGTCCGCTTGTACCTTTCATTGAATTTATGACCTCTGTGAGTAGATGTCGCCTTCATTTTGCAGCCTTTGGTTTGCGTAGTCATGTTCTACGTCTTTTTTCGTGGTCCTGCTACACGGGTTATCATCGTCATGCTAACGAATGTGATGCTGGCAAAAATGAGATTGAAGTTGGTATTTTAACGTACAATGTGTATTAATTTTTTTTAGGTTGGGTTGATGAGAAATGGAAGATTGTTGGCTCAAGCATCTCCGGAGTCATTGTTAGCTGCTCATGAAGCACTGACATTAGAAAAGGTTTTTCTGCTCCTATGTCAACAAGCAGACAAATTGGAGAGAACTCCTGTGATCTTCAGCAATGAATATTCCTTTGATTACGGCACTCCGAATGGAACAGCTGCTTCAGTATGTGTTTTTTTTTTTTTTTCATTCCCCCAATCGGATCACAATACGATGTCTGGAAACGTATAATTTATTTTCTTGCGAAATCTAAGCCTATGAAATCGGAAGACATTTCGGAAATGCACCCAATTTCGTCTGTGGTTCCGGTGTCGGAGAAATCAACCGAAATTCCAGCCAAGGCGACGTTTGAAAACCCAGCATTTCAGTTAGGAGACGATCAGCACTACATCGCAGTTCAAGAAACTGAACCAACAGAGAAGTTTTCTGTAAGACTGTTTCTCAATGCGTATATTTTATTTCCTAAAGGTATCCACGTATTTTTTTCATAAATTTTACAGCCTGTTCCAAAGTCGCTGACAGAAAAGAAACGCGGGAGTGAATGGATTCCCAGCAAAACCACCATGCAAGCTTTGTTGTTCAAAAATTTCATTTTAATGCTGAGACACAGAGGGTAAGAACGAGAGATACAAAAAAAACTTTCGAGTACAGTATTATGATGTAAGATCTTTTCTGCTTTGTTTTCAGAGCGTTGACGTTTGAAATTTTGCTGCCACCTCTCCAAATCATCTTGTTCTTCCTCACACTGAGATCCGGAGCTCAGAACCTGGTTTTAACAGTGTTCAACGAAGAGGCAGTGAATATCACATCTCCAACTCAAGCATTTTGTCGTGAAAATGCGTTTTCTTGTGAACTGATCGACTCCATACGCTCAAAAACTCTGCAACCGGTTAGTATAGGGGGTTCCAAAGTTTCGTTTGTATATATTTTCTTGATCTTATAAGAAATGATTATATTCTTCGAAGAAGGTACAGTTTTAGTCTAAGGTACATATACAGTAACTGCAAAAAAATCTCAAGATCAGAGCATTTCATCGTATACCTCACATTACAACAAAGTTGACAGATTCTTGACGTTGAGTCTCTTTTTCGTAATTTTTTCGAATTTCTTTTCTTTAGCCCATTCAATTGCGCAAAAAATCTCAGAAACTATTATTTTATAAAGCCTCATTAAAACAAAGTTGTCAGATTCGTGACATAGGATCGTCTTTTATAATTTTTTTGCAATATCCACTTCTTCAGCCCTTCTGACTGTGTAAAAAACTCAAGATCAGAGCATTTCATGGCATCTCTTTCAAACAAGCTTTTCATATTTGTGACATTGAGTCCCACCTTGTGCAATGGGGAGAAAACTCCAGCAACAAAACACAAACAGCATCTAAAACTGCTTACAGTAGACTAGTGTCCGGTTATCCTGCCTTCAGACCTTAAGGCAGGAAATGAAAAAATAAACAGAAGTCTCATAAAATCGCATGACAGTAAGAAACATATCACAAGCAGAAACCATGCAGGCTTTGGCTGAATTTTTTGAAGAGAAATAAAATTGGAAATGAAAAATTGCTTTTGAAAAATGAAAAATGAACATAGGTTTTCATTTATTGTGGCAAACAAAATAATTATTGCAAATTTTTGAAAACTACACTAAATGTAGGAAATATTGTTCTAAAAACAATAAAAAATCAAATTTGTTGCCGGGAATTAAACATTTTCAACAGCTTGTGACGTGGATGGAAACCCCCTGCCAAAACTGGAAAGTTTTCACTTATTGCATTGCAGTAAATCAAAAAATTCTCAACAACATTTGGAAAAAATCCCAGAACCTTAGCATAGGATGGTTTGAATTGCAAATTTTTTTCTAAGGGGTACCTAGTCTGGAAATACCCAAGGTCAATCGGAAGTGGGATAATCCTCGTATGTTTATCAACTTTTATGAACCAACCCTCGTATATACATGCAGGATATATTTGCACGCTCATTTTCT